GCACCTAATTTTCCATTCTCCGCTACATCCATATTTGTAAAAACTGAGCAGATGTTTTTGCTGATGAATATGAAGCTGAGAAAAGATGGTTATTTTTCTCTGTATACTCACATCTCAGCTCTAGAGAATTACATGCGTGGGTTCTTCTGAAGGTAGATGAGACTCCCTTTCTTAGATATCTCTCTGCCACACCAAATTACAATGCTCATTTAGACGGTTTCCACACAGAGGAGAAAAACCGCACAGATTTGCCTTAGTGTATTGACATGTTTTAGTGAACCTGTGAATCATCTCATAAGTTATTTCTTTTATGTTTTTATCGTCTGAGTTCTCTTAGAAGTACACAATAAACACATACCCAGTAATGAGCAACACAGAGAATGTAAATTGGAAGCCACTTTCAAAAAAAAAAGAAAGTGTTCAATGAACTTGAAAAAACCGCTGTTAAGAAATACTACTTTGCATCACTCATAAATAATCTTTTGAACTCAATTCCGTGAGAAATCATTACATCTCAGTAATCGATGTCACGGATAAAGAAAATCTCCAGTGATGAGTGCCATGTTTTATCTTGAGAGACTGAACTCTTCATGCTTTAAAGCCTGAACCAACTACTAATGGTTAGGCTTCAGAAAGGAACTTCCCTTTTAGAAAGATTTCTTTTGCCTGTCTCTGAAATGTTTATTGCAGATCACTGTTGGAAGCAAGGTACTCGGTGTAATGAAATAGTGAGCTGATATCAGATGTTAATGTGTATATTATGGGAAAGTCGCATTAAATTCTTCAGACTTCTTTAAGCTGTGGACTCTGGTGTCAGTCACGGCCCAGCATATTCCCTGCTCAGGAGCAGATCTCCCATTTGGGTCAAAGACAGGCCTGACCTGCAGAATACATTTTGCAGCCCAGCCTTTCTTGAAATCGAGGGCATTTACATCTGCGGCATGGTCTCATGACTCCCATGACAGAGGAATTTATGCAGAAGGCCGGCTAAACTGGATCTTAGGCATGCTTTGGCCCATTATTGGGATAAGGCAAATAAACTGTCCCTTTGCGATGCAAGCATAGCACATATCAACCTAGTTCTGGAATACACCTAAAATGAAACATTTGGATTTTAAATGATCTCTTTTATTAGTGCTATTGACATGTGTTTCTTTAGGTTTACACCCTTTGAAGGAAAGGGCTCAGCAGATCTGGAGCAGGGTAACTCATTCAACACCACTCAAAACATATTTGAGGCCTGACTGCAGGAAGGTCCGTTTAAGAAAGTGTGTCAAGGTGGTAGTTTTCCCATGTCTTCACTCTTAATCGCTGCCTTCCATTTGTTTGGGGTCATCATCTCTATTCCTTTAACAATCAAGTCACTGAAGAGGATACACCTATAGGAGTGGGTCCTCTCAATAGACCTCAGGGCAAAGTTCTTCCTGTTGTTCATAATAAACCATTTCAAAGAAGACCTGGCGACATCCATAGGATAGAGATAGTTGTAAGACGAAGGCACAACAAGAAGCTTATGGCCATTTGCTCTAGCAACTTCAGGGCAACACTCAATGCCAGACATGTAGATCGTTGGTTGGACTGGTGGCAGAGTTCCCGTCTCTGGCTTCTTGCCATCTTTTGCCCCCACATGCATTGGCTGCATTTTATCCCTAGTCACAATTACACACTTTACACAGGAGGTGGTCAGAGAATCACACAACTCTTGAAAGATACTGTTCTGCTGATGGATGGGCAGATCACCTCTAATAGCAGCTTGTACCTCCAGGGCACCCACCCTTGACTGCTGCCAGTGTAAACAAGTGTCCATACTGGCCAACGGAGGCTGGCCTCCTTGGCTCTTTTTTCTCCTGTTATAAGACTTTCTGGAATATCTGTTTCCCCTAAAAAAAAGGTGTTGAAACTGTTAAGCTACAGTGTCCTCAGAGCTCTTAAATACTGCAGGCACTGCCTCTTTGAAGCAGCATCAAAGCAGCCCCAGTGGATTACGTGCTTGAGAAGTGGATTCCTGAAGCGCTGCATGCTGGCGTCTCAAGGCTCAGGAAGGATGCTCGCAGAGCTCACAATGCACCCATTGCCCCGCCGTTACCCCGCGGTGTCACACCCAATCAGTGGCAGCACCAGCAGGGGCTTCCAGGTGGCTGATCAAAAAGCATCTTGGAAAACAACAGTCCATCAGGCTGGGTAGGCTGCAACTGTGCAGCTAGCGGCTTCTGGTCAGAATGTCGCTCGTCTTGAACATCATGGTTCCTTCTCTCACAGCACTGAGTGGGCACTTGGGCCCTGTGTACCAGCCAGGCACCGCCAAAAGGGGTCCAGAGGGATGGGGATGTGGAGGAAGGAGCTGCCCAGAATCAGCATGGAGAATGAGCCAACGCTTGAGCTTTGAGACCAGTGGTAGAAAACTTTCCCTCCCTACCTGGCGAGTGTGTGGCCTCATGGAAGATGTGGCCTTGAAATCCCCCGGGTGGAGGAGCGGGATGAACCCCAGATGTCTGGTTATGGGGGGAAGGAGGACCTCCGGACCCCCACAGGAGCCTCTCTGACAGGCAGGCCCAATACTGGCAGCGTGCAAAGTGCTGCCTGGTGAAAGGCGCCCAACAGCACAGAGGCTTGTGCGAGGTCCACCATGCTCAGCCTGCCCAGCTCCAGGCCTTAGAGGGGGGAATGAATAAGTGATGCCCCAAATGTCCCTTCATGGTGAGGTATTTTTAGGAGTAATTTGGTTTCTAGAGTTCCCTTAGCTTTCCACTTTGTGCACCCGCTTCTCCATTTTGTGCTGGCTCTACTGATGAACCCCTGAGGAACCTGCATTGAGCTGACACCAACGCCATCACCCCCTCCAAAGGTGAGCAACACTTTCAGAGAAAGGGAAGGGATTATGGGGGAAAAAGAAAATTGCTCGTGTGGTGTTATGTGAACACACAGGCTGAAATGAAGGTGAGAGCAGAAGGCTGGACAGGTACCACCCTGCTGCCATGGCAAGCCAAACGGGGGCACAGGAGCACGTGGCAAAGTGAGGGCTGCAGTCGGCCTGGGGAGACGGGAACAGCCAGGGGAAGGTGTGTGCGTGTGTGTGTGCATGCAATGTGTGCAAGTGTGCGTGTGCGCGCAGGCGCAAGTCTTCGGCTGGGGAAGGTTGTGGAGCAGCAGAAGGTGAAGACTATTTTGACCCATCTGCTTTCTTACCTGTCCCTCCTCCTCCCTGCAGATGCACACGCAGAATTTTACCGCAGGAACAAGCTTGTCAGTACAAGACTGTTAAATTGCTCACACTCAGCTGTACCTACAAGGCTGGGAGTGAATACTGGCAGCATTGTCAGCCTGCCAGATGGGGCTGAACAGCACAAACGTGTCAGTCTCTGATGACGGCACGCATTTCCTCACGCACCTCTGAAATTGAGATACCCCCACAGTCCGTGTCATCCCCTCTGGAACGGTTTTCCTTCACCCCAATGCAGTGGGAAACTCTGTGAAGTCAAAAAATGTTTGAAAATGAACATGGCCAGTGGGGTCGAACTCAGCTGACTGGATGCTCTGCTTGCTGAGGCAGATGAGTGATGGGGCACATCATGTTAGCAGCATTACGTGGAGAGTAGAAGTCTGAAAATTTGATATAAGAAGAAGGGTATACTCCCAGAAAGAAGCCTATATGGTTTGTTAGTCAGATGCAAAATGATGGCAGATTCAGACTGTACACATATGAAGAAAAATCCTTGAATATGCAGTACATATTCATATAAGAATACAACATAAAATAATATTGACTCATCTCTATTAGCATTTCGCACTGTGGTATACCTTTCTCTTTTAGTGTTAGCTTTTGTCCTTAATAAGTGTATACCAGGAGCATAACCTGACATGAATAGTCCTACTGGAGTTATTCGGTGCTTATTAGTTTTGAGAAGTGCACGTTTAGAGGCCTGATTAGTGCCTGAGGCCCCCCAAAATGCTGATTTAGGGACCTCGCTGTTCAAGAACTGGATGTAAATTGTCGAAAGAACTACCTGTAAAGAAATCTTATTCCCTAATTCTTCTTGGTGCCTGTGACAAGCACCCCACCCATGACATCCACTGGAACAGCAAATCATATTCCCTGTTAGCTAAATTGAAGGTGTCATTTCCTTGTCTCCTCTCCAGAGAGGATTTACTTAATTGTGCATGAGCTGGAGCATGCCATCCTTCAGATAGACACATAAAGGGCACGTCGCTTTTGTTACTCTTGCTTTCTAGCTACCTTCTGATAGTGAATGGACACCAGTAGGAAACAAGTCAGGGGAACAACTGTGGTAGCATCCAGGCAGTGTCCCCAGGTGCAGAAGTGAGGTAGGGCTTCCCCTCTCCTTCCCCGTCCTCTCCTCCCCTGTCCTCTCCTCCCTCTCCAGCCTTGTCCCTGAGGCCTCCTGGCCGTGCCAGGCTAAGGACGGCTCTAACACTGCCCGCCTCATCCCTCTCAGACCTGCCCCTGTCACCAGTGGCAAGCAGCAGCTCTGTGCTGCTGTCCCCCGCAGGCTGCCCACAGGCTGAAAGCTGTAGTGCCCAGCCCATTTGTGTGCTCTGAGACTGCTCCACGAGGCAACCCAAAGCATAGCAGCAGCGGTCAGGAGATGTGCTTCAAAAGCATGGTCCTCTTCTGAACTGGACCACACATGTAGGTACCGCTGGGGCTGCCGCGGAAAATCAGGCTTGATGTTCCTCAGTTTGGAGCCCCTATAGCGAACAGTCCTGAAACCGTTGCTCTATCACTCCAGGCTTTTGTGGTTTTGCAGCATCACAGCAAATGCTGAGTGACAAAGACAGCCTGCTGCTGTAGGCTGAGCGCTTGTCTGTGCTTTCATGTGCCATTGAAGGGACTTAGCAAGGTGGGTGAAGGAGGTGCAAACCAGCCTGTTTTGTGGTGCTGTCCCAGAAGGACGTGGTGATGCTCTTATGCTGTCAGGTGGCGTCACCGTGCCTGCGTCTCTGGCTCACCCTGGCTCCTTCAACTCCCATGAATTGGTCTGAGCCTAACTGGTTATGAAAATATTAATGATAATGCAGCTGATATGTAGTGAGATAGGAAGGATGGACTGCTTTCATGTCCTTTTCAGAGTAACTATTTCAGAAGTGGATTCTCCTCTGTCCCATTCATATATATATGATATAAGACCACCTGTTAATCTGCTTTAAAAACAATTATTCATGGTCCCAGTGTCTCAACATCATTTAAAAAACTTGGGCAGCAGACATAAGGCACTGGGTTGAGACACAAAAATATGTATTTATTTCCCGTGCTACCTTTAGTCTGCTGCGTTACTTTTTGCCTCTTTTCCCTTCCGCTCCATGTCTACATGGCCAGTGAGCACTTTGGGGCAGGGACCTTTCTTCCTTTTGTAATTTTAGATTTCTGACGTTCCCTAGCAAGGCCACACAGCGCAAAATCAATGGGCATAGCCCCTGACTCACAAGCGCATTTGGAATTTGGGAAAAGGCACTTCTGATCGCTCTTTTATCCTTCAGCCATTGCACCAGAGTCTCCTGCTCTCGCCTGCTGCCCTACCAGCAAGACCTGCCCCTGGCAGTAAGGTAGTGCCCTGAAGGTTGAGGTTTGGGCATCAGGGCTGGGACCACCCGTCTTCCTCCACCGCCCCCAGCACACGCAGCCATTGCACCCAGCACCCACGCACAGGGCACCAGCCAGGGGTAGTACCTGCCCCCAGGCATCTGCGGGTGTGGGGGGGTGGGCTCAGTGGCATGTGGAGCATTTCACAGGGATGCCCAGGCTCAGCGGTCTCCTGCCCCCCCCAGGAAGGAGGTGGGAGGCCTGACCCCTGCCTGCTGCCAGCTCCTCCATCACTGCCTGGGTACACAAGTGGCGCTAAGCAGTGACACCACCACCCCCCGCCCAATGCACTTTTTTGGTCCTTCACCAAATTCCATTGTACCACTTAGCCAAATAACAAATTTACCAATTACCCATGAACAAAGTCCCTATTAATGAAGCAATTAGGATACCAATTATCAATTACACACCAATTATCCATTTCAGTAGTAATTATGTTATTAGGTTACCAGTCATCACATTCTATATGCAAGCTAAAAGTAATCACAAACCCTTTATTTTAAAATCCCAAATAAAAACATAATGAAATACGGAACATAATGAAATACGCATAAACAGTAGGCATGATGTTAGGCAAACACTGGATGTTTTTACTGCTGTATTGTATTACACGTAGCAGCTAAAATTAAGTTGCTAATTTTGAAAGTTAACATTTTATTTTTATCTAAATAAAAAGTTTTGTAAGTTTGAAATTTTTTTTTTCCAAAACCAACACTTGAGAACATTATTCTGCAAGGAATTTGGTTCTCTTCCAATCTTATATGGAGTGAGAAAAATTAGGATTCTTTTTCTAACAGATACCATACCCAATTTAAATAATCTATTTTCCCTCCTAGCTATCTGATGAAGTCCTGAACACTAGCTAAAGTCCCATGCCAAAGTAGTATTCCTAGTGTCAAACGAGACTTTCCAAAAGTGTGTGATTTTAGCTCTTGATCTGTGATGGAACCAGTAAGAGAAACACGTGCCAAAATCAAAGATGGCCCCAGGGTAGAAACACAGAAAAAGGCAGAAACTTCAGAAAATAAATTAAGCCAGTATCTAAAGTAAGAGCCCTAAACTTCTCAGAACAGAGCTAGTACAACTGCTGGTGGTTTCCCACAAAGACCAGCGGGGCACCTTGTGAAAACTGATGAAATTTGGGTTTGAGCATTAGGGATTCTCTGCTAAGGTTGAGCTTAGCAGCTTTCCCCTTGATGGCATCATAGTCATCACTTCTGCCCAAGTATGGCCACTATTTCAGGTAGAAATACTTGGCCATCTATTGCCTGGACCCTGTAGGAACAGGGTATCTTTAGGAGTTGAAGCTCGTTACTGGATGTGGATGGAGAAAGAGAAGGGAAAGTTTCAAGGCCAAGGGATTGGCATAGAGCTGATGGGTGTGCCTGGGTCTGGGAAGGGGACAGAGCCATTAGATCCA